TCAGCCGTGTTAAGGAGAAGTTGACGGGTAAGGACTTTGGTAAAGGAGAGGAGTTGAGGACAGAGATGCAGGTTGATCGGTTGATTAAGGAGGCGACGAATTTGGAGAATCTTTGTCAGCATTATATTGGGTGGTGTAGTTTCTGGTAGGTGGACTTGTTTCGTCGTTTGCTGTTTTGTCAGTAGCGAGAGCCAAGGCAGGGTATGGGTATGAGCGAACGAGTGTTTCATGGTTGGGTGTTCTTTGGTAGCATTAGCGTTGGCATGGCATGGTTTTGGGCGTGGAGTTCCGGGCTGTCATGGGCGATGTTTCGTGTACTTTTACGATAACTTTCCCTTTGCTTCAACTCCAACAGCATTGCAGTGGTGCTTTTGGTGTTGGGGGATATGAGATGTGTGGGGTTAATGATGAACTACTGCCTTATGACCAGTTCTCTATATGATTACGTGAGTGTTTTGCAGTGGTGTTGAAAACGGGTTAGACGGCGTAAATATTGGTGTGTTGAACACATACTACTGGTCATACGCGTTGTTCAGATGTCAAAAAAGGGTAGGCGGATAGAATGCTACCTTTGGTGACTTGCCCTGCCGTGCTTACCGTCCAAGATACAGTACATGCCACAGGGTCTGACTAGTCAGCCCGTCAGTAACGCTGATGTCTGCATGAACTACTGACAATGCATGAAGGGTCTTCCATGACGTTGTTCTGCGTGGAGACATGCATGGAAGGATCCGAAAAGACTGGGTCTAGTACTGTCGAAGGTCGCTAAGACGAACGTCGCCCGCCATGCAAACGTGATTTGTGGACATGAAGAACTTGTGGTAACATGTGCCGGGGAAAGTATAGAACGAGTGGGGTCTAGATCATCTACATGTGTACCATTTGCAGAACGGGTTCTCTTTTCTGCCGTGCTTGCCAGTACCCAGGCGGAACAACGGCACAAGATGCACCATGTTACCAGCTGTACGGATTCAGTGGTCTAGACTAAACTCTGGAGTTGATATGTTATATGCCGATTCTTGTCCGTGAAGTATATAACGCAGATTTCTCGGCATTGTAAAGACGGTACCCTCTTTGACGGGTAAAAGTGGAGTAGGTTACCGTGCTTAGCTTCCTGTTGTGTCACCATGTCCCATGCTGGTAATGTATATTCTTGGTATAGTATTCGTTTTGAAGTCGAATTGCTGCAGCGGGTTCGACATTGCATCTCGGCTGAAAGCTGTTGACAGAACGGTAATCAATTTACAAGTTTGAATCGAAGGTTCAGAGTATCTACATTCGGATACATGTCTCCGCACGTCACGCGTACGGATCCGAACTAAGGACAGACTTGTAGGCTAACGGTCTCCGCAGTGTAGTCGCAATCGAAGATGCCGTTCTTGCCAGCTCCAAGGAGCGCATGTGACGTGGTAGAAGAATCGTGAGGGGATCTTCAGCCGTAATAACCGTGAGATCTACATGAGAAAGTAGAGCAAAAATGGTTTCAAAAGCAACGGACGTGCTACAAGTAGTACGGTCCAGCGCGTCATTGACCTCGAAATGCTTGCTAGTGAGCCTGCTTGTCGTATCGCGGAGTAACGCCCGGCAAAACATCAACGACTGTCAGAGCTGAATTTGTCGAAGTGCTTATGTTGGGCCACTTGATGGTTTGAAATTTGGTGTTGGGCAGTAGTTCTCGGCCGGATCGGCCCCTGGCCAGCCGAAACGTCAGAACGTCCGAGAACCCACTGGGCACGTCGAATCCTTATCATGGAGACAAACTATTCCCGCCAGTGACGCGGAAGGAACGGGTGTAGAACACAGCCACACAAATGATGGTGACGGCAACCTGCAGATGGACAGTTCTGAAACGCTTGGGTTTGCTCTTGGGTTATGTTCCGCATTGCCGCTAACAACGCGTCTTCCAAGGGCACCGGCTAGATAGCCGAGATGGTGTGGCCGCTATGGCCATGTCGACGCAACTTTGCTGGCCTCTGGTTTGTCGCGACTGGAAGTGCGGCAGATCGACGGGGTGGGGGGCTGGTCAAAAACTGATGTAGCGGTGCTCTTATGGGAGGCGCGTGCAGGTACATAGGGTTTCTTATCGCCGGACTCTTTTTGTTTCAGAATCCAGAGGTTCGTCTTGAGGGTTTTTGTGCAGTCTTTTTCTTGTGTTTGGCGTCGAGTCGAAGATTTCGACACGTGCAACTGCGAAAAAGGGGTGTGACATCATTCGGTCATTGCTGAACCACAATTTCCGACTCCAGCTGCCAATTCGCTCGCCCCGCATGTACCGCTGCGGCTCGACCTTGGCATCATGAACCGCAACACGCAGAACCTCGCGATAGGCCGCTTGCCTACTAACGACAGCTTTCCGCCTTTTTCCAGCGTCGTCCACAGACCGGCGTCCAGTTCGTCCACCGCCTCGGTGTCGAGTGCAGAGGAGAGACTGCAATGGCGCTCGCACCCGAATGTCGCGACGCCGCATCCGGATCCGACGAACCAGAATCCCTTCGATGATCCCAGCCTCACATTGGCAACGCCGCTGAGTCGCGATGAGCCCGAAGGCCTTTCCAACGACGTGCAGAAGCAGATTCAGCGCGAAGAGGAAGAGATAGAGTACCATGGCGACGACAACGAGAGGGTCGACACGAATTCTACGGAGAAGACTGACGATTCCATACGCGAGAACCCGACGGCATTGGCTGCTGTTACCAGTAGGAGCACAAAGCGCAGCGTTCCAAATGGAGATGTGCCGGAGAAGAGGACGAAGTTGAGCTTCAAGGAACGGATACGGCATTTCACCTGGACTTGGTTCTGTCTCACCATGGCTACCGGAGGTATCGCAAACGTCTTGTACACTGTCCCGTTCCGCTTCCACGGCATCTACGCGCTTGGGTGTATCTTCTTCATCCTCAACATCGTTCTGTTCCTGTTCAACGTCGCAATGATTTCTTGCCGGTTCTACTTCTACCCGCGAACATTCAAGGCTTCCTTCCTACATCCCACCGAGTCGCTGTTCATCCCTGCCGCTATTGTCAGCTTTGGTATCATCCTGATCAACATCAGTCAGTTTGGAGTCGACATGGCTGGAGTGGGAGAGTGGCTGGAGCAATGCATGATTGTGTTGTTTTGGATGGACTGTGGTCTTGCTGTTTGCTTCTCCATTGGCATCTATCTGCTCATGTTCGTGTCTCTCTTTCATCGTATACTGACAAGTATGCTAACAAGTGCAGGTGGTCCACCACGACTTTCACTATCTCTCAGATGACGCCCATTTGGATCTTCCCAGCATACCCTCTGCTCATCATCGGACCTCATGCTGGTAACCTTGCGCCCAAGGTTGAAGATCCTACTATCTCTCTTACCATCATCCTGACTGGGTATGTCATCCAAGGCATAGGCTTCCTGGTGTCGCTCATGATCTACGCCGCCTTCATCTACCGTCTCATGACGCAGAAGCTTCCCAAGGAATCTCTCCGCCCGGGTATGTTCATCTCCGTCGGTCCCTCTGGCTTCACGATTGCCGGCGTCATCATGATGGGCCAAGAGCTCCCAAAGACCGTACCCAGCGACTTTATGGGCGAAGGAAACGGCGAGCTCGCAGGCAAAGTCGGCATGATCTGCGCAAACTACATGGGACTATGGCTCTGGGGTCTCGCACTGTGGTTCTTCTTCGTCAGCGTCGGTGCGCATTGGTCGTGTGCCCGGAGAGGCAAGATGGACTTTGCGATGACATGGTACTCCTTCATCTTCCCCAACACGGCTCTCACAACATCCACCTTCGCCATCGCCAGAGCCCTCAACGATAACAGAGCCATTGCTCTGATCGGCTGCGCAATGACCATCGCCCTCGTCATGATGTGGTTCTTCGTCATCTTCATGAACGTACGCGCTGTCGTCATTCACCAGATCTTGTGGCCAGAGAAGCAAGAGGATAGGACTGAAGGTGGATGGAAACAGCAGAGTGCAGAAGAGCAACAGAGAAGACAACGGGAAAGAGAGTTGGCTGATGGTGGGGAGAGTATGAGGGGCAGGGCGTGGAGTCGTGCCAGAACGTTGACGAGGCCTCGTGAGAGTGATCCTACGACTAAGGCTATGCCGACGCTGGAGAGGTCACAGACCGATATTGGGGCGAGGAAGAGGGGGTGGAGCTTTAGGAGATAAAAGACAGGATGGTGGTGTATGTGGTGAGTATGAAAAGTCTGAGGAGTTTGTTATCTGCATAGAATTTGTCGTCGATACCCCTTAGAGCGATGTTTTGGTCGAGCGTTAGTATTCGTTTTCGGTAGATATGTATGTTAATTGGATATTCCCTCTTCGTAAACCAGTCACGTTCGACTCGAGTGTACTACTTGCTGGCAAGCAACTTCCGCTCGTGAGCTTCTAGTGAAACTTTCAAGACTGGAACATAATGCTATTGGTGTATAGCAAGCTCAGATCTCCTCCGCCTAAGTGTTCCAGCACTTGAGAGCTGCAAGTCGGGCGCGACGGGGCTAGACCGAATCAAGCTAAGAGCCTTGGTATCCCGAACAGACGCACGCGAGTTCGTCGCGTCCTCACGCTGCACACGGCAAATCCTACTCACGCGTTTTGCTCGTCTTCATCGCTGCAGAAACGGGACACAACATCAATCGCGCTTATCACTAGATCCATGTCTCTCAACATGCTGTACGCGATATTTTGTACTCAGCCTGGGGCCTGCCAGGCTGCAGGGGGCGAAGCAGCGGTCCATCGAACGCAGGCCAATCACTCGTGCGTGGTGGCGCTGTTGAGATGACCTGGCACGGGGGTCAATCTCAGCCTCTCCTCCCAATCTTTTGTTGCGGCACACCACTTCCCTCGTCGCTATCCTCCTGTTTCCCTCTGTGTACGCGTTCTCCTGCTCCGCGAGAATGGATCTCGATAGGGAACAGGGCCGCTTGCCCAGTATCTGGAAAACGCCGACTGCCGAGCGAACACTCGAACGGATGACATACCAGCATTCATCACATGCCTACGACAGTCAAGTTCTTTCCAAGATGGGTTACTCTGGGAGTCTCGCTCAGCCTTCAGACGCCAATGATCTACCTAACGTATCTGGACTTTCGGACGATTACGAACACCCGCAAATCTCTGAGCACCGGCTTGACCCAAGTCTTGCCATCAGGGCGGTTGACTCAAGTCATGTATTCGGAGCGCCGGAAAACGATGGCATTAGTCCCGGCCTCCTTACTAAAGTCGACCACGAAAGGCATACCGGCATTTTCAGTCAACCGCAGCTAGCAGATGAGGAAAACGTTAGACCTGCGAATTTGTCCAGCGCGTGGACGCCAGACTTATACATGTCAACTGGACTCATACAACATGATGATCAAAGCAGCAATGAACCACCATATCAACACATGCGTATGCTTGGTCATGGCGGAAGCGCAAGCGTGGAGCAAGTCCTCGATCTCACCACGGGCTCGGTGTTTGCGCGGAAAATCATCAGAAACGTCTATGCTCGTAATATCGACAAGGCGAAACGGGAGCTCCTGAACGAAGTCCGGATCATGCAACGTCTGGCTTCCCATCATCATATCGTCAACGTGCACGCTGCTTTTGTCAATAAAAGAGAGCTCACTATGATACTCGAACCGGTTGCAGATGGCGGAGATCTGGCCGGCTATCTACAAAACTACCGTGACCAAGGCTTCCGCCTGCGGGGCGAGGTGAACAAGAAGAATGTATACCAGAATCTCACCCTGCGAAGAGCTTTCGGCTGCTTATCGTCGGCATTGGACTTTATTCATGGTCAGACCATCCGACACAAAGACATCAAGCCCCAAAATATACTGATCCACCAAGGAAAGGTCATGTATACCGATTTCGGACTCTCGTATGACTACGGGGATATTGGCCAAAGCACAACCACTGGCAATCCGCAGGGTATTACCAAAAGGTACTGTGCACCAGAAGTGGCTGAGTGGGAGAGGAGAAACACAAAGTCAGACGTGTTTTCCCTTGGTTGTGTATTCATCGAAATCCTACTAGCGTTGGCGAACGATACCTACTACGACGATATATATGGACCGGCTTTCCAAGAAGCCGTACAGTCCTACAAAGATGCCATACCCCTACCATGGATTATCTTCGAAGATGACGATTGTCGACGGCTCAACGACGTCGTTCGAAAGATGATGCGGATTGAACCTACAGCGAGGCCTTCGGCCTACGAAGTCGCTTATACGATCATCAAAAGCTTTTCTAGTTCCAATTATTGTTCAATATGTGACATTGCATTCAGGCAGAAATGGGAAGGCTGGTCTCAAGTACGGTCATAGAATAAGACGACCGTGTTGAGCATTCCATGTTGAGTCAAGCCTGACTACAACATCGGCATACCCTCCATACCCGGCAGCGCCGCCAACCAGCCATCGCGCTCCTCCTTTACACGGTTGGGTACAAGACACTTGTTTCCATCAGCAGGCTGCTGCGTCTTCAAGCTACCGCAGTTGGCACCCATGCAGCCCTTCGCATCATCCATAGCCTTCTGCAGCGAGTCGTCCTTCCAGCCGAAGACGTAGTCTCCATGCTGTCCATACCCAGTGTTGTCACCGGTGGAGAGGACGAAGGGTTGCGAGCCATCGGCGGGCCACTCCGCTTTGTTGTTGAACTTGCTGGTGTCCCAGACGATCTGCAAGTACGTTAGCTCGGCCAACACGACTAGATGGTGTATGTTTTGGGACCGACCTCGAGCATGACCTGTGGGATCTTCACGGGATGAGTCGATGGGCAATTGCCACCAGTACCAGTACCAGAGAACAGAGCCGGGCCGTTGGAGGGGTACGCGACGTGCGATTTGTGGTCGGGCGAATCGAGGTTCTTTCCGTCCCAGCATCTGTCGCAATGTCAGTAGGCTACGGAGTTGTCGCGTGAAGGATACTTACGTTGGGTAGAGAACGTTGCTACGGATACCACCCGGGCAAGGTGTCGTAGGGAAGCCTTCAGTGTCGAGTCTTGGAGCGTCAGCATGGTCATAAGTACAACGAGACGGGCATGCTCACTTGGCATCCTGGCAAGGCGCGGCATTATCGCCACCGAAGTTGGGCGCGTTGTAGCATCGGAAGCAAGTCTGAGTCTTCATACCCTTCGAGACGCGGTTGGTGGCATCACCAGTGAGCATGCGGAAGCCCTATATGCTGTGTCAGGGCATGAAGTTGCATGGAGAGGTATATGGCTTACGGGCTTGAAGGCGGTGACTTGGCCCTTGCCTCCAGAGACATAGTAGACGACAAAGCCTCCGGTTGTCTTTCCAGTGTACTTGTCGTTGAAGAGATCCCTGTTAGGGATTTGAGGTACGCGCTTGTATGTTCCATTGCGGGCCTTGAAGTAGACATTCGCGGTCCAGTAGTTGGAAAGCTGTCACCCAAACCGTCAGCTTGATCGTCTCGTATTCATCACCTTGACTTACATCCTCCGAGTACCCGCAAGTAGTGCATGTCGCAAGCTTGGCGATATCCGTCGATTGCATCGTGACGTTGAATGCATTTCCTCCAACTACCTGATGCATGTGCGGCGAAGGAGCTTGGCCTGGGTTGACAAGAGGATCGATACGGTCGATAACATTCTGAGCGCACCCAAAACGCAACATCGTGAAGCCCTGAGAGCCACCGAACTGAGGCGCAGCCTGCGCAACGGCGGCGAGGAGGAGAGTAGGGAACAGCATGAAGATTCGCAATTTCTCTTCACAGAAGGATGTGTAGATGATGAAGAAGTACAGAACGAGGCAGAGAAGACGCCTTGTAAGATAAAGTACTCCAAGGGATGTTCTCCGAAGCTTCCATACCTGCCCAATGCGACCCACACACAAAGGTTTGCTATCCCACTCAGCTTTCACATTCGTCATGCAACTGCCGACCCCATCCGTACCAGAAAACTGATATTAGGGTCACCACAACTTCACCTAATGCGTACGACCTCGTAGCATCGAAGCAATGTCGGCAGTTGCGGAACTAATATGTTGATCCCGCATTCGGCTAAAGGCTTGAGATTACTTCACCAACCTGACCACTTTCTTTAGACGACATGTGGTACCGGAGCATGGGGATCGACGTCTCCTCGTGGGGATACAGTCAATTACATGGGAATGGAAGTGTCGTTATCGGAAAGATCGGTGTCATGACATGAGGCATGGATTGATTCTCGTGTCCTATTCTACCACACTACTATGTGTTGACACCTCAGCCCCGCAAGTCCAGAGTTGGGAACGACTAAGCAGGCGCAGGGATAGAGCCCGCAACAGCCTTGATGCCCGCGTTCCAGATGTCACCCATGCGCGCGTATCCAGCGACATTCCTATAAGATCAGTCAGCTGAGCGATCTCCAGATGAACGAGTCAATACTTACGGGTGCAGGTTATCGCTCAACTCGCTGCTCGTGCTGAGGACGTTCATATCGACAATGGAAACCTTTGATCCCTTGCTGACCCTGGAGGCGACGATAGCAGGCAACGCGTTGTTGAAAGTCTTGATGTTGGCGTTAAGACCCGATTGTTTCGATGGAATGATCTTGGCCACGACAACGACGGCGTTGGGGACTGCCTTCAGAACGTCATCGAGCAAGAGTCCAAGTCGTCTCGGCGCATCAGCATCTGGCTCTGAGGAAGGGTTTCCTCTGTTCAGGTCGTTGGTACCGGCATGGAGCAGAACGACGTTGGGCTTCAATGCAAGACCACCGGCAGCAACGCCGCGGATCTGGGAGATGGTGTAGCCAGGGAAACCTTGGTTGTCCTTGTCCGCCATGGTTCCGGACTGTTGCGTGCCGACGAAGTCAACGGTGTAGCCACCAGACTTGAGATCGGCCAGCAGCCGCTCGCGGTAGCCATTTGAACCGCCGCCGTTGATGTAGCCCCAGGTGATGGAGTCGCCTAGCGGCAGGATGCGAAGGTTTTTCGACTGGCGTGCGACGAGCGCATCGGTGGGAAGACCATTGACGAAGGATAGGACTGCATCTCGTTAGTCACGTGTGCATGTGTCCGATACATGTAAGAGCCCTACAGAATGAGAGGATGGCCAATGGCAGAGCCAATCGCGTCATCATATTTGACAGCATCGTGATCAGATATCGAGGTCTTGTCAATAACGCGCAAGCGACGCAGCCAGAGGCGAGACGCCCTTTTGATGTAGAACGCCCAGCTTCATCGTACCCCAGATTTTGTCCATGCGTGCTTGTGCACCCTCAAAATGGAACACATGGCGCCAGTTTCTCCGTCGATTTGATGAAGCCGAGAGGTTAGCGCATGTCGATTCTGATTAACCTGCGACAGAGCTCGTGGACGCGAATTCTCCGTAGGCAGAACTACGGCTAAGATGGCGGCGGAGTGGAGGTACCTAAGGGGGTTTGTGCGCCATGTCGTCATGAAACGACGCGACTTTCAACGCGCGCGAAAGGATCACGTCTTCGATTAGAGCTCACATTGCGACGCGCTATTGAGAGCTTCGCGATAGGTATGATGCCACCACAACATCGCCGTTCACGCACTCGGTGTTCTGGGGCTGCTTTTAGCCTCGGTTCCTGACCTTGATGTTTCGATGTTTCAATGTGGAGAGCAATTTGGCCTTGACAGCTGTCCCTAAATCTCCCCGCATCCTAGCTCGATTGGGTATAGTTCAGACGATAATAAGATGCCCGCAACACCAACGGCCCCTCAGCCTCATAATCTTTCGCATCGAGTGCGTGTTGCACAAGATACCCTGAATAGGTATGCGAAACATCTTGATGAACAGCCTTTTCAGCACAGCTGAATGGAACAACTGCTAGGTTTTCTAGTCGTGTGTTCAACTGAAGCCTACCTGTTGGTCTCTTAACTGAGCTTGGCAGTGTCGAGATAGCTTCTGCCATCGCCGAAGTCACGAATCAGTCCATCTGAACGCCGTGGTATAGTCATGGACTGTCCATCCTATCAATACGAGAGCCTGACTGCGTCCGATCATATCCGTCTCATCAACATTCTTCCTGCAAACCGGGGATCGGCAATCAAGCTCAGTATTGAGCATGCCGACATCAACTCGCATCCCGAGTACGAGTGCCTGTCGTATGCCTGGGGAGAAGATGACCATAAGCTGTCCGTTACGATCGACGATTCTTCGCTACTGGTCACTGCAACCCTTTATGTCGCACTCGAGCATCTTCGCCATGCATCACAAGAGCGCAAGATTTGGATAGACGCTATTTGCATCAACCAGAAAGACATCGCTGAGCGCAATAGTCAAGTCGCTATCATGAGGAAGATTTACAAGAATGCGACGCGCGTAGTTGTGTGGATTGGACCTGCCACCGAGTCGAGCGAACAGGCCATGGAATTTTTGGAGATGTTGGCTACAGCTAGGAAACATCGCAAATGGTATACGAGAGATTGGTCCAGGTTGGATAAAAAGGTATCTGAACCAGCTAACAGCCCAACCTATTGGGAGAGACTGAAGAGTCGCCTTGTACGAGTATATGCATCGCTGACGCGGCGAGTTCATCAGGCTAAGGAGCCAAAACCTGACCCGCCAATACCAGACCCGCCAGTACCAGACTCGCCAATACCTGACCTGCCAGAATCAGACCCACGCTTGCAAGAATTGATTGACCGCCGGTACGACGAATTCGATGAGTACACGGTGGCTGTGGAAACTGCGGAAGCTACAAAGCACGATTTCGCCGTGACAGGCATTCCCGTACTGTATAACATGGACGGCAATCCCTACGACGAGTATTTCAGTAATGAATGGGAGGCCTATTGGGAGGCCCTCGATGAGCTACTTGCTCGCCCTTGGTGGGAGCGGACCTGGATTGTACAGGAGATATGGTGTGCTTCGCATGCAATACTGCAATGTGGCACTTCCATAGTTGAATGGAAAACCTTTCAAATGGCCATGGATTATTCCGAAGCATGGGACGATATTGGAGATGCTCTGGAAGGCATGAAAAGAAAGTCGCAGTGGGATACATTGCGACGACGTTATACACTGGCGATAAATCTTTCGAAAGCAAGAGTAAATGGAAGTTCGCTGTCGTCGCTGCTTTGGAATACTTGGGATCGCGCATCCACAGATCCAAGGGACAAAGTATTCGTTGTGTTGGGATTAGTGGGCGACGTCGAAGGCGTCTCTGTGGCGCCTGATTACCGCAAGTCGGTGGATCAGGTGTATCGAGAGACTGCGCATCACATCGTAGCAAAAGAAGGTCGACTTGACATCCTACTGGCGGCCAGCGGCGTTCATGGTAAGGATGGCTTACCGTCATGGGTGCCAGACTGGCGCCGCGAGGCGTACGCAAAGAAGCCGGTCCTACTTGT